AAAATCGTTCATCCAGCATACATAGTAAGTATGCAGATAATATGCACACATAGCACGTAATTTATAATAAATACTTCATATCTATGTGTCAGATGAAAGTAACTATGCACTCACTTGTTAAAGTGATGGTTCCAAACTCAGGCAATGCTTCACTTCTAATGATTATATTTTCCTTCGACGAAACCTATCATTATTATCGCTAAGTTTTAGTCTAATCTTTATTGCGACTTATTATTATTCTATATTCATGATTAACTCAAAGTCTACTTTCATGATCTATCACGTAAGGAACAACCAGGTATGATCATATTGGAGGTAGGGTCTGTTTGGTATACGAAGTATACTATTTAGAAATCCCATTTTAAACACCTCACTAAATCATAGCCTAGACATCATCCCCGTAAGTAGATCAATCAATTTAACGACTTTGAATCATTGAAAAATCTTATTCATAGGTTCATAACAATGATATTATTTTTAAACATAAGTTATATTTAAACTAGGGTAGGCGTATCTCACTTACAATGGGTTTTGCCAAAAATCAGGCTCCACTGGAGCAGAGCTTCTGAGCCAAAAAGCTCTTTTTTCTCGGAGCCATCGGGCGCTCTAGAGCTTTGTCCTAGCACTGGGGGAGTTTCCTAGGGCTTTGGGCGGGGGGGGGGGGGTTGGGAGGTTCAGAGAGAAGTTAGAGAGAGAAAGATAAAGGTGGAGGTGTGAAGAAATGAGGGTGGAAGGGGTTCTATTTATAGGATGAAATATGGCTCACCATGGTACCACATGTCACCATCTGGTGGAAAGACTTGGGGAGTAAGCAATGACCCAGATTCAGCTACGTCACCCCATTCGCAGTAGCACCCTATCGACTTATAAACCCCATAACATTCGAATACGACCTGTATTTTCGACGTTCTTTATATTCATGCGTAGGTGGAGACATAATCTACAATTTTCGTTTAGAATCCTCGACTGATTTTAAATTTAATAGTATGAGAATATTACGTTGTTAACGATCGTGTAAAATTCATAACTTCTACATTTCAACTGTATTTTTATCGTTGAGTTCCTATTAATGGGATATTAAATTCTCATTTAGGTTTTGTCGGCTAAAAATCACTTGATTTGAAATTCGAATTCCAAGATGTATACTCGTTTGCAAAATCTTAGAAAAATCATAAATTCCTCGCACAAAGTCAGATTTTGACGTTATTTTTATATACGATCTCGGTTTAACGTATACTAGAACTTTCATTTAGTTATATGTGGCTAAAAATTAGTTTATCAAAAATTCACTTTTTATGATTATCGGTGCCGTGTCAGTTTTGCCGTAAAAGTTTGACAGGTCATAACTTCTTCGTTATAACTTGAATTTCAGTGTTCTTTATATTTATGAAATCCTAGTCATGACCATTACCACTTTTATTTTCACTCTTAATTTCTTATATTTTATCAGTTTTTGACGCTTATTTTCACTCTTAATTTATTATATTTTATCAATAAGTATAATGCACATAAAATCACATAATTCACATAATATTCTATTAATTCCTCTTTCTTACTTCAAAGTGGGTTATAATGGCTGACCCTAACTATTACATAATCACTTTAATGCTTATCCTAGAAACACGGGTGTTATAATTCTCCCCCCTTTGGATGAGTATGTCCCGGAATCATACATCAGCAAACATATGTGGATAGCGACTCATCATGTCACTCTTTGTTTCCCAAGTGAGGTTCGGCCCATTCGTATGTTTCCATCGCACAAGCACTAAGTCGATCATCTTGCATCGCAACTTCTTTGTCTTATTGTCAACAATTGCCTCAGGCTCATCCATCCTTAACTCTAAAATTTGAATTATGTCGGGAACTTCTCCCGTGAACTTCCTCAAATAACACACACGAAAATTGTTATGAATTCCATCTAGTTCTTCTGGTAATTTAAGCTTGTAAGCTTGGTCCCTAATCTTCTGAAGAACTTTGAATGATATAATAAACGTTGGACTCAACTTTCCTCCTTTTTTGAATCCTATAAGTCCCTTCCATGGTGAGACTTTAAGGAAAACCAAATCTCCAACTTCAAATGTCATCGGTCGTCTTTTCTTGCCAGCATACCTCTTTTGATGATCTTCCGCTGCTAAAACTCTTTCCCTAATCACCTTTGGCTTTTCAGCTGTCTAATTGAATATCTCGGGTTCGATAAACAACTTTTCTCCATATTTAAGCCAAGAAGATGACATACAACACTTCTGTCCATACAAAGCTTGATAAGGTGCCATCTTGATGCTTGAATGGAAACTATAATTATAGGAAAACTCTACCAGAGGTAAGTGTTCATCCCAGTTACCTTGGAACTCTAGGGTACATGCTCATAGCTTATCTTAAATTGTTTGAATTACCATCATTTTGTGGATGGTAAGATGTACTTAAACACAGTTTGGTACCCGTTTCCTCTTGTAGACTCCTCAAAAACCTTGATGTGAAACGACTCTCACGATCTGATACAATCATTAAAGGAACACCGTGAAGTCTTACTACTTCCTTCACGTAATCATTTTCAAGCTTATCCATAGACCATCTCTCATTGGCTGCTATGATGTGTGCACTCTTAGTGAAATGATCCATGAATACCCAAATCATGTTGTGTCCGTTCTTCGTCTTGGGCAGTTTAGTCACAAAATGCATGGTGATGTCTTCCAATTTACCCATGGGTACAGGTAAAGGTTCTAAACTCCCTTATGGTTTCTAATGTTGTGCCTTAACTCTCGAGCATGTTACACACTTGGCCACATATTTTGTAACATCGAGCTTCATCGTCTTATAAGCTTCTTCCATCAATAGATCTGTTATTTCTCTTGTCTTAGGTTCCCAAATCCTATCTTGGAATACCTTCAATCCTTGACCGTTTGTACCATACACTAACGTTTTACCCAAACGTTCTTCCTTTTTGTCATTTTCTCTGAAGCTTCTTCCTGAGATTTCTTAATGTTTTCCTCAATTATTAAGACTACTTCAATGCTTAAAGCTCTTGGTATTTTCCTTTCAAGGTTTACCTTTCGACTTAGAGCATCAACGACAACATTTGCTTTACCGGGGTGGTAAAGTATCTCACAGTCATTATCCTTGAGTAACTCTAGCCAGTGTCGTTGTCTCATGTTCAATTCATTATGATTAAAGAGGTACTGGAGACTCTTATGATTAGGGAAAATTTTGGACTTCGTGCCATAGATATAATGCCTCCATATCTTTAGGGTAAATACTACCACTGCCAACTCCAAATCATGAGTGGGGTAGTTTTTTTTCGTGCTCTTTCAATTGTTGAGATGAATATGCTATCACCATTTCCATTTGGGTCAGAACACAACCTAACCCAACTCCAGTTGCATCTCCATAAACTGCAAACTCTTCAACTCCGTCGGGTAAGGAAAGAATTGGTGCTTTTCACTCCAAGTATAAGTAACTCCTTTATGGTTCAAAAGTGTCATTGGAGCAGCTACCAAAGAAAAGCCTTGGATAAACCTTCAATAATATCTAGCTAATCCCAGAAAGCTTTGAATCTCCGTGGGACTTTTCAGTGGTTCCCACTTCATCACAACTTCGATCTTTACTGACTGAACCATTATTCCATCGTGGTTAACCACATGACCCAAAAATTGGAATTCTCGAATCCAAAAATCACATTTAGAGAAAATTTCACACAACTTCTCCTTCTTCAAGACTTCTAATACTTCTCGTAGATGCTTGCCATGCCCCTCCTGGCTATTTGAGTATATCAGAATGTCATTTGTAAACACTATCACAGGTTTATTGAGGAATGGTTTACAAACCCTGTTCATCAAATCAATGAATGTTGCTAGAGCATTGGTTAGTCCAAACGACATAACCAATAACTCATAGTGTCTTGTAGGAGTTAATTGGATTGTTGAGAAAGGAAATATTGTATGTTATGTTCTCCTAGTTTGAATTTTGGCTGCGAGAGGTCCAGTTCTTAGGATATCTCATCAATCAGGACAGGATTTTGGTCGATCCAGCCAAGATTAGGGCAGTTATGTAGTTGGAGGTTCTGAAGTCCCCATCAGGTATTATGACTTTTCTAGGGTTGGAAGGTTACTATTGGAGGTTCGCATAGGATTTCTCTAAGATTGTTGTTCCTATGACTCACTTGACAAAGTGGAGTGTAGATTTTATCTTCGGGCCCAAGCAACATATTCACATTTATAATTACTATGACGAAAAGCTTTATATGCAGAACATAACTCTTTCAGCTTTAATCCATAAAACTCTACTATTTTCAAATTTCCATGCGTTTTAAAGGCTTTATCCACTTTCTTAGACATATCTACTAAACACCACTTCATTTCTGAATGAAACTCCTGATAACAATAAAAAACATAACAAAGTTTAATTAATATATATAACTTAAATTTTAAACATAAAAACAACATACAAACAAATAAATCATGTTCAGCTTCAAAAATACACAAATAACATTTCTTACTAAAATTGATCCTCTAGAAACTTCATCAACACTTTCCACTGTAGCAGATGGCCTTCCAAAACCTCCATTAGAAATTTCATTCATTTGTCTCACTTTCAACTGCTCTAAAGTCCAATTATTAATTACTGGATATCTTCTAACCATTAACATTTGCCTACATTGAATCCTATCAACATATAGCAACTACAAAAAAAAAACAAAATATAATAACAAAATATAAATATTACTAATATTTTTAAAATATTTACTCAAACAACATTAAATGACATACCGTTAGAAAGACACTTGGACCATTGAAGAAGGTCTTAATATCACTTCTACCCCAAATCAACTTTTCCTCTTTTACACAATTTAATACATATGTACACCAATCAAACTTATCTAACTTATATGATTCAGACAAATACGGTAGAAGCTTCAAATTGCATGCACCTTGTTTGTTACATGATCCAAAACATGTACATACAAGAATAATAAAGTTTGCAACAAACACCATATCTGCTTCACATCATTCTATTATCTTGTACACAACATCATTTGGAGTAATTAAAGACAACGACTTCTTGAATTGATCTTTCCAGATTTCATACCATTCCTCATTACCTCTTAAATCAACACTATTTAACTGATCAACCCCCATAGGCAGCCCTAACACCCTATTAACATCTTCCCTTGTAACCAAAATATTAGAAACCTCAGTTTTAATAACCATCTCTAAAGGATCAAACGAATCAACAACAAAATAACATAATTTTGCTGGAATACTTTGAGTCTTCATGTCTATCAATGATCCGAACCCCAAACTCCTCACACATTCTTTTTGCTTATGATTCATTGACTTCACAACACCATATATAGAATGAAGAGAAACACGAGAATACAATGACTTTATTTTATCACTATGCAACTCCATTTTCTTTTTAACTTTCTTATCAGCTATATTATCCACCCTCTTCACACTACTACCGGAACCATCCTCAAAATCAGAATCACTAGAAAACTCTACAACAAAATTATCAACATACAAACGATGTAAAATAATATAAAAACATTAACAAAACATAATCATTAAATAAATAACACAATAAATAAGTAACATTATATTCAAGTTTACCATGTTCGGAGACAAATGTTTTACTAACTTTTCTAACACTTCTGTTAACCAACTTCCTGCTCCTTGTAATGCTCCGAACTTCAAAATCAGAATCACTTACATAATCTAAATTATGTCCAACAAAAAAAAATTATAATCTACATTAATAATAAACTTAAATAATAACCACACAATAAAAAATAACCTTCTGAATCAGATGATTTTGAATTTAATCGACTAAACAAACCATGTTTTCTCTTTTTCATCTAACTATAATCAGACTGACTAACATTATTCCTTGGCTTTTTCTTCTTCCAAAAATTACTAGATGAAATGTCAATTGTCTTATTCCTAGAATTACTGGAATAAATCTCAATTGGACTCTCATCATATACACATGGAGGCATAACAAAATCAAACCGAAAAAATGATAAAATAAGTCAATTTGAAAAACATTAACAACAACACATCATAACTTACTCTCCTTCTTAACTTCATCATATATAAATTTTTTCCCTTCAAATACTTCATCATCTTCTATTTCTATAGGATGATCACGAGAATTAACCATGCAATCAACTTTAACCACGTTCTCATTTAAATAATCCTTCTTACTGGATATCATTCGTTGTGATGCAATTGTAAATTTCTTCATTGGTTTCGAATTCGAACTTTGCCTATTCCTGTTCACTTTCGCATCTAACAAAGCTTTAAACGCAAACACTATGTTGAATAATGTTGAAATACATAATCTAATATAGATAAAACTAAAAGAAAACCCTCTGAATAAAATTTCAAACAACATAAACGTAGACCTTGAAACAATTACGCATAAACGGTTACATCAATTTGAAAACCGACTACTGACTTGTCAATGACGGTTAGATTCAAAAAAAAAAACTACAAAATAAAATTACATTTATAACCTTTTAATTAAAAAATTTATAAAAAACAAACGATTACGTGTGAAATAAAAACAACAACTACTCTAATACACATGGTTCTTTCCTATTGGTTCTTACCATTTTCACATCTTACTCTCATTTGTACACGAACCCACTTTTATATATATATATATATATATATATATATATATATATATATATATATATATATATATATATATATATATATAAAGACTTTTTTGTTAATTAAGGAAAATCTTAAATAATCGAGATTTTTCTATTTAAAAAAGTAATAAATAATAAATAATAAATAAAAATATTATATTGAAATTTTTCCCAAAAATTTTAGTTTTTTTTTTTATAGATTTTCCCATGTATTTTTATATATATGTTGGGGACTTAAAATCATTGTTTAAAAATCGGGTGCCACCATGATCTAGTGAAGTGAGCATAAATCAAACATGGCCATTTTGCTTAATTGTGACTCATATTGGGCCGGACGGATTTGCCAATCACACGGTTTGAACGATGCACTTGAAACAATAAAAACTTGGATTGAACGTAGTTACACATATACTTTGCGCTCCAATTATCCAGTTTCAAATTAGCTTACTTTCAATTAATGGACTTCAAGCTATTCATTTTTCTGGAACAATCTAGATTTGAAAGAAAATAAGTTCGATACCATCTTCAAGCTAATAAGGTTCACTTTGTTTTATTTCTTAGTTTGCAAGAAGCCAACATTTTCAGGAGTCTTCTCAACTTTTATGTTGTCTTCAAGCCAAAAAGTGGTTCAGGTGAGAAAACATATTCATATTAGGAAATCATTTTCAACCATTCATTTAATCTAAACATAAAAAGACACAGTGAAAATTTTGTAAATATGATAATAACCTTCAATCTCAAATACGAACATCGATTTCTTTGCTGAATACTCCGATTTGGAATTTCCCAGATTCACAAACGAACTCAGGTGGAATTGGAATTTCTTCGCTGTTCATGAATTTGGAATCAGAGTTCTGGATTCGCAGTCACAGTCGACATTGAAGACTCGGAATCGGTACTCGCAGGTTCCCAATCAAATTTTCGGAAATTAAAATCAAAATGTGAAATCGATCAGACATAAGATGTCGCATCTGAAGTTAGAAGCTTTTGAAATTGGAACATATATTCTAATCGAAACAGTTCGCATCTTGATTATCAGTATTACAAAGAAATCTAGAATCAGGATTTCAAGGTTTCAAAATTGAAATCGGAATTTTTTGTTGGAATGAAATCAAAATCGGAATTGCACGCTTCAAAGTCGAAATCGGAAGTATATGATGATTTGAAATTGATAACTTGAATCGGAAGTATCATGTTTTTAACATTTTTAAAAAAGTTAACTTGTATGCATTCCAATTGTTTGATGAAATGCAAAAACTAAATTACCACGTTATATTCACATATGAATATGTTTTCTCACCTGAATCAGTATATGATTATTAAAAACACAAAACAATTAAGTCTGTACGTTATTCATATGTGAATAACATATAAAAATTATATATATTTGTGAAACCACCTTGCAATATTTATATGTGAATAGATTGTGTAATATTCATAAATAAATATATCATCTAATATTCACAAGTTAATATAATATGTAATATTCGCATGTGATATACTATATAATACTATATAATATTCACATATGAAAATATCATCAAATATTCATAACTGGATATACCATCTATTATTCACAAGTGAATATACTAATGTATCGTCGAATATTTAAATATGAATTTATTATCTTTATTATATGATATATTTATATGTGAGTGATACTTAAACTGTAAAAAAAAAAAAATAATCATACTTTTTATTCATAAGTGAATAACGAATGTATTGTAGTAAAAACCTGATGCATTTTTATTTAGTTATGAATAATGAAAGCTGAAAATATATAAAAAAAAATTATTTTATCTTAAAACTCTATCAATATAGATGTCTATTTGTAAAGAATAAAAAATCATGAAATTTGGTATATTTAAAATCATTTTTCGATAAAAATAGCTTCTTAAAAACATTAAAAAAAAAAAAAAAGACTATGTTTTTGTACATATTAAGGTAATGATTAGCATTGTTTAAGGAAACATATTTTGTTGGAAAACACATGTCTATTTCTTTCTCATTTCCACTGGTACGACTGAGGCTTTTGGGGTAAAAATAAATGAGTGCTTGAGATTGATTCCTCCATTCTCAATTTTTTTTTTCTCAATTGAAAAAAAAATGATCTATTTAGATTCACACTGAATTTGTTTAGATTCATATTATGAATCTATACAGATTTATACAGTGAATTTATATAAAATTAATGATTTATAGTGCACAACAGATAAAAAAATAAAAATAAATAACAATTATCAAATTTGATATCAATGCAAATAAGATAAAAAGTTATGAATTTTTATATTTTTAGAAAATTTTTCAATATATAATAAGATCTAATACTTGAAAAAACAATGGTTCCTTTGTTCTATGGTTTAAAATGGTTCATTGTTGAACTTTTTCATATATATATATATATATATATATATATATATATATATATATGTGTGTGTGTGTGTGTGTGTGTGTGCGTCACACCCCGAACAAGGACGACAAAACGTCCGTGGGCAGATGACGGACGTCATTGTATAATATCATAACAATTGAATATAAATGAAACATAGCAACCAGGCAGCATACATTGAGAAAAAAAAAACTTACATAGTTTACATATTGTAATTGTTCATAAGTTACACAAAATAACTGAAAAGTAAAGTTCCATAGTGTTGCATCACTTGATCTAAAAAAGAGTTGATTACATGTTACTAGTTCCCTGAGAATACAAGTGATTTTGAAAAACGTCAACAACAATGTTATTGAGTTCATAATCACTTTTGTATGAAAAAGGTTTGTAACTACTTTGTTTACCATGATTTCGTATTTTTCCATAAAATCCAATATTTTCTATAAAATAGTTTTGTAACAACGAAAAAATTCACAACAATTTTTCATTTTTTCAAATAACATAAAACTCAGTCAATATTCTCAAATCTCAAGTTTAAAAAATGTCATCATGATAAAAAGATATCCCAAGATCATAAACTAAATCTTCTGCCAGTGTATACGGATAATGCCGACGCCTTCCCACGGTCCTCGCTAGTACCTGAAACAAATATCATATATAACGGTAAACATAAATGCTTAGTGAGTTCCCCAAAATACCACATACAAGACATACGCCACTCAAGGCCATAACTCTATGGGATCTTTCGATCCATGTGTCTCAGGGGACTTCCGTCCCAACTCTGGTAGACCTTTCGGCCCTATCTGTATGATCTTTCGTTCTTTATCATCTTGACCTTCCGGTGCATACACTATTGACCTTCCAGTCCATATCATGGTACTCATAACATAGCATAACACATACATATCACATAGCAACACATATCACATACTCCACATAGCATATAACACCTTCCGGTCACACATAGAGGAACTCACTTCGTATACTATTTAGTAACTCACGTGCTCGGTATCCCTGATCCTCGTAAAAATAACCTAGCCCCGCCTAAACACATAAGAAATCATCTCAAATCAATAATGGCTCTCCAGGCTAGACTAATCTATTCCAATGTTCTCTCAGGAGGCTAAAAGACCGTTTGTAACAACCCGAAATTTCCGTATCATTTATTGTAACTCTTTTGTAGTACAATTCACACAACCAATCGTCGTTTCCAAATTCAATTTTCGATCTTCCGTTTAATTAAGTCATTAACTTATACGTATTTAAAATGACTTAATGGGTGTCTTAATAAATTTAGAAATCATTTTAACACCCAACTTTAGTGATCAGAATAATTCTAGAAATTACTGTATCGGGTTACGGCAACTCAATCGGGTACGACCAAAAGCCTCGTCTAATGCTGGTATCGGGTAGAATTCCACAGTGTCCAAAACTTAAACACTATATAAACGTGTTTAAGCCTCCATTTAAAGCCTTTGGTCAATTTCTCATTTAACTCTCACAACCTCTCTCCTCATCCCAAAATCAAGGTCAAAACAAAGATTTAAGGCTTGAAATCAAAGAGGTAACACCCCTAACTTGTTATTCAACCTCTTTAGCCTTCAAATTTATGTTTAAATTATGTTTTGGGACCAAGAACATGAGTTTACGGCCAAGGAACAAGCTTGGGCCATAAACTCATATAACATGGGTTTTTAAGCCATAAAACCCCTCCTAAGCAATCTTGAACATTAGATATGGCTTAATGACGTAATGGAAAGGACTTATAACATTTAAAACATTGATTTTGAGGAGCAAAAGTGAGTTTACGGCCAAGACATATTCTTGGGCCGTAAACTCATGTACATGGGGTTTTTGAGCCAAAATAACCCTTCCAAATCATAGTTGGGACTTAGATATGACCTTAAGGCTTGCTAAACTACACTTGGAACACTTTAAACATGATTTTTGGGGGACAAAAGTGAGTTTACGGCCAAGACACATTCTTGGGCCGTAAACTCCACATAAATGGGGATTTAAAGCCTTAAAACATGTCCAAATGCCTTGAAACTCAACTAATGGCCTTGTGGTAAAATCTAGATGCATCTAAAAATAGTTTAAGGGTTTTAAACACTTCAAAAATGTCACTTATAGGAGTTTACGGCATAGGACCATACCCTTGGCCGTAAACTCATAAAACTTGTTGAACGATGCATC